GGGGTCTCCAGCCTTGGCCACTTTTTACGACTTGTGGACTTCAACTCCCAGATTTTTCTGGCCGAGGAATTCTGGGAATTAAAGACCACAAGTCGTAAAGTAGCCAAGGCTGGAGACCCCTGTTCTAGTCCAACACCCCCCCCCCACCCAAATGCTCAATCTGGGAGGGGATTTTTTAAAAGGATGGAAGACTAATGGAGCAGTAATAACGGCCACTCGACCGGAGGAATTATGGCATGCTGACCTCCCTGTCCGAGCCCGGGGTCTGGGTCACGTGGGGGCCCAGCTTGCAAAGACGGAGAGCGGTGACTCTTCTCAGCTCACCTCCAAAGGCTCCCTGCACCCCAGTGGGGGGGGGGCTCTTTGGTGGATTCCTCCCCTCTTTTGTCTGGGGCTCTGCACAGAGACACCCCCCCCAGCCCACCCCCAGGGCCCCTCTAGGCTCAGGGAGGCCTGGAGGGCACCACATTTTTTGGGGGGGAGGTAGCCTGCAATGAGTTGAGCATTGATAGGCGTGCCAGAGGCTGCCTCCTCTCCTGTCCCGGCTTCACCCCTGCTCAGGGCCCAACCTGTTCCTCAGGTTTTCAGGTGAGCCTGTTTGCTCAGGGACTCCGTGCCAGTCAGCCATATGGAGCTCCGGATCCCATTTCCTGGATCGGCCGGCTTGGGACCCACCCTGGGCCACTCCGCCTCTCCCTCCTCTCCCCGAAGGTGACCGTTTCCTTGGAGGTGACCTGCCAGGGAGGCATTTATCTTGGCACCTGCAAAGCCACCGTCTTGGCCAACCCGGCCCGTTTAAGGGCGCCTGGCTCACCTTTAGCGGCATACAGGGCTGTGCAAGGCGCGTGGGAAGCCAAGCGTGAACGCCAACCAATGGCTTCTCTTCGTGAGGATTCCCCCACGGGCAGGACGGGGGGCTCCCTGCATGGATGGATGGATGGAATCCCCGCAGGCTGGGTTCACTGCGTGGATTCCAAGAAATACTGCGTGTATTCCAGGTGCCCCTGGGAAATATTTCCCTGGCCATGTCTGGAATCTGGCGCCCAGTTTTGCTCACATGATGGGGAGACTTTGGAAAAAGTGCAGAGTTGAATTGAATTTGAATTTGAATGGATTTGTATGCTGCCCAATCCCGAAGGACTCCGGGCGGCTCGCATAAAAACAGTTAAAAATACTAGAAAATTTAAAATACAAACAAAGAGGTTTAAAAAAACAACAACATATACTCAGTTCTTAGTGGGGCTGGAACTCAGAGAAGAGCAACTAAGACGATTAAAGGCCTGGAGACAAAAGCATACGAAATTGCAGGAACTTGGTATGCCTATTCTGGAGAAAGGAAATATTCCAGGATAGAAATATTCCAATATTCGAGGGGCTGCCCCAAGCTCTTCTCCAAAGCCCCCTGAAGCCAGGACAAGGAGCAACGGATGGAAACTGACCAAGGAGGGAAGCAAACTGGAATTGAGGAGAAACTTCTTAATAATGAGGACAATTCACCAGTGGAACAGCTGGCCACTGGAAGGTGTGGGTGCCCCGTCACGGGGTTTTTTTAGTATGGGGTCTCCTGATTGAGCAGGGGGTTGGTCTAGAGCAGTGTTTCTCAACCTTGTCAACTTGAAGGTGTTTGGACTCCAACTCCCAGAATTCCCCAGCAGTGGTTAGGACAGTGTTTCTCAACCTTGTCAACTTGAAGGTGTTTGGACTCCAACTCCCAGAATTCCCCAGCAGTGGTTAGGACAGTGTTTCTCAACCTTGTCAACTTGAAGGTGTTTGGACTCCAACTCCCAGAA